ACTCTCGTCGGAGTCCGAGGGAGAGCTTTATGAGGTAAGAGGACGTTATTAATTAACTGACTGGCTTTTCTTTTCAACAGGGGGCGTTTGCTCTATGGAGATTTTTCTGTTTCATCCCTGCTAAGAGAACAAAGACTGCATTTTACCTAAAATCCTTGATCTGCTACCTGCTTTATCTGATTAATTCTATCAACGTTTGAATTCACGATACTTGCTCAATCGGTACGTGGCGAGTATTCTCACGTGATGGCAGTATTTATTGAAATACTTAGACTGGAGCTTTGTAGCGTTTACTTTTCAGTTGGTGCGATCCCTTTCTTAACGAAAATGATTGTCGATTGAGTTAACTTATTAGTGCACTTTCTCTAATAAATGCTGTGAATACTACGATAAATCGATTAAGTGTTCCAAAATTGTCCTTTTAGTATGCAAATTGTTGGAGAACGATCTACGATCCTTCTTACATTTGTTTGGTTTACAATGTGCAAAAATTGTTTTAAATCAAAGGATTCATGTTCGTGTAATTTGCCAGCCAATGGGTATAACGAAAAAAGTTAGAAATTATGCATCAAATGGTACCTATGATTATTATAGAGATATTTTAAAAGAACAACGTTGTAGATTGCAAGACTCACCCAAATACTTAAAAACATTATAGCTTATCAAACGTTTTGTTGTGTAGTATCGCTGAGTATTTATACGAGTTGTGAGTTGTGCCGTATTTTGACGAGCTCGTAGTGCTCGTCAAAATACAAATAAGAACGAATAAGATAGTAGATCTTAGATTAGAATAATCAGTTACTTTTTTTAAGTTTTGTTGTCAGTTAAATTGATGTCCCCAATAAGCTTGCAGCCTTACAGCTAAATAAATTTGATGCTGAAATAAAGTTTTATTATTTTTAAATTTATTATGATTAAGATTATGATTTTGATTATGATAACTATTGATAATACTATTATTACTATCATTATTATTATTATTTACTTTATCTTCATTTGTATTGTCTGTACGTCAATGTTTGTACCTTTTCATGTGTATCTATACTTGCATGTATTTTATGATTTTAGTTGAAATTTAATTTCAATTATGTTGATTTTGGATTAGTTTTAGATTGTGGTAGTTCGTCTTGAAACAAAGGGAAATACACAATTAAATAAACTAGTCTAAACATATTTTGACCCAATATGCATTTTAAACTACAAAATATATGTCTACTCAATGATACATTTGTATTCCAGGTGGAAAGACTGCTTGGAAAAAGAAGTCACCATGGAAAAGTGGAGTACCTTATACGCTGGAAGGGCTTTGGAAAAGAGGTTGATTCATGGGAACCAGTGAAAAATTTGAGGGGCTGCCAACCTTTGATTAAAAACTTCAATAAATCGCGGTCTCCTTCTCCAGGGAGAAAGGCCAGGACACCAAAGGTAAAGTTTTCACTCGAGTAATTGTACAGGAGGGCCACAAGTTCATTAGTAAAGGTAGTTACTGTTACATGTCCCTTTCATAAAACAAACTCTCTTCAGTGTTGTTGTGGTCAAGACTTATGAAGAGACAATTCAGGGCTTGACACTAATTGTAGCCCACTAGCCACAGACTAGTAGAAATTCAGTTTTGGCTAGTGGTTTTCAATTTCCACCAGCCAGTTTGGCTAGTAAACAAACTGAAATTGTCGTAACATCTAACATGTCACCAGCCACTTGGCTAAGTAAGTTGAAAGTTAGTGTTGAGCCCTGCAATTATTGAGAATGCTTGTAATAAACTCTATTTTACAAGTTAGTGTTTAGTGGTGAGGTAGAATTAACAATATGTAAATGGTTGACTTTGTATTTCTTTCTCTGTCTTTGACAGAAGTCTCAGGCAATTCAGAAAGTACAGACCCCAACAACACCAAAAGTAGAAGAGTACACTAAACTGAAAACCCCAACCACTAGATCCTCAGATTTTGTGATTCTTCATCAGAGAAAAGGTGGGTTCTCTTAAATGATGAAGCTAATTTTAAGATTAATTACCCACATACTCCTTGGAATCACACAGAAGTTTCATCCCAATATTGTTTGAACTTCCTTTGGCCTTTACAAATAATACCTCATGGATTTTGAGGTTGATGCTTATTCTGGCATTGTTATGTAACCTTTATTGACTTGATGTTTAAGAATTTGATGCTAAGTGGAGGTGACTAATGCTGGATATTTTCATAACTGCACATGGCTAAATTTTTTCTTATTGCTGTTGTGTCCAAAACTGTCATAGTTTCATTCTTAACCTCATTAATTATTCATAAGGTTATCATCCAACCAAGACACGCCAATTTCATCAAGTGCATGTGGTTTGAAACCATGGTAAAACACTAGAATGGTGTGCTATCCATGAGTTTCATACAATAACAAACCCTTGAGTTTGATAAAGCATCACACTTGACTGCCACCAGCCCAATTAAAGCACTCGGCCTGGGCCTCGTGCTTTCATCAGTTTCCCTGTGTTTGGAAACCCTTATGAAACCCCTGCACTTGTTTTTGAAATAGCACATCAAGTGCTTTGAGAAAAGTTCAGCCTGTTGTTAACTTAAACAGTTTTCATTTCCTTCCTGGTCATTTCTTTGTAATCCATTCCTGAATAACTTGAACTAATGTACAGACTACTGTAAATATTTGGAATCAACTGTATATTCTTTGTCATATTTTCTTTATATCAGTCAAGCTTTGCTGGTCCAGGGTTCATTCAGCTACAGTGTGGTGAATCTTCAAACTGCCTTCCTGCTCAAATGTTCCATTTTCTCTCAACTCTTCTTTATTTTCATTTAATGTGGCTAACATTTACTTGTACACTTTCTGAGTAGAAATATTATTTCACAGTTTTTTTTCAACGATTTTCATTGGTTTGTTTCCAACTTGTGATAACCCAATCCTATTTCAATGTGCGTGGAAAGTTTAATTTAATATGAGTTGGCTGTACATTGTGAAACTCACATGCAGGATATGTTCACCTCACAGGGCCATTAACTTACAAACAAGAAACAAAAGAAGAAAAAGAAGTTGAGGTTACTGCAAAGATAGAGTCAGTGGAGGCAACAAAAATTGAGAAAAAGGAATCCAATGTCAAAGAAGGGCCTTCCAAACCTTTACCACCCAAAAAGACTAGTCCAGTTGCAGTCAATGCAAAAAAGGAGGTTTTAAAAGTTTTTGCTATTGTAGCTGTCTTAACATTTTTCATTCTTATTTTTTTCTCATTTTTTCATGTTGTAGGAGAGAAGTAAGTGTTTGCAACTTAGTGTTTTTTACATAAGGGTTTTAGCTTGATTTTATTAAACATTTTCATTATAAGGTCATACAACAAGCAGCTTAGGGAGGCATTGACTTGAGTGAGTGTTTGCAGATTATCTCCAAATGGGAATATGAAATCTGTCTTTGTTTTTAATCAAATGAGGATAAATGCCAAAATCCAAAGAAATGCTTAAGTTTACTTTTAAGCCTGAAGGGGTTTATTATGAAGTGCACATTTAACAATTTTACTGATTGCCATATATATTGAAGATTCTGCATAGAGAAAGAGTTAGTCTTAAATGCACCTCTTCTGCATTGCATTGGGAAGCTCACAGGATGTTCTCCTGCTTGGATGTAGCCATAAGGTGGTGCGTCAGTTCTATAAATCCATATTTTCTCATTTACAATTAGATTTCCTGAAATCTTCAAATAGCAACACTACCACTCTTAATATCAAATCAGTAATTCTCCTTTCTAGGTGTTACACATTCTTATGTGGACTACTGGAGAAAATCGAACAGTTAAGGTCATCTGATCTCATCAACTGTTTGTTGCAATGCATAGTGTATTAAATTTAATGCTCAAAGGAGAAGTTGTAGGGTTAGAGAGCCTTTTGCCTCTCCATTCGCCCCACACCATATACGATTTACAAGTTGTTTTTGGCTCAAACAATTTCTTAAACCAGCTAAACTGTAAAAAAGATGGAATGTTCTCAAAGTCTTGTGTGTATTTTAATCTCAAACAAGTTCAGATTTTTGTGGCAAATGTAGGTGGGAGGATTCATTTTCATCTTTGAAAGTTTTATAATCAAGACAGTCGCTCAAAGACTTATGCTTCAGAAGAGTTTGAACTAACCAGAGGTGTAAACATTTCAGGAAAAGTCCTAAGTTTGATTAATTGGAAGTATTTCTTTTTCATGTCAATGCATCAGGTGATAATAATTCTTTTATCTCTTTCATACATGTTTGTTATGGATACATGATATCTGGGAAGTGCTTGCCAGTTTAAACAGGCACCTGTACTCACAGCTTTGTAGATTTTTAAGTGATAGTTGAAATTAAAAATTGTAGGATTCACCAGCTCTAACAAGAGATGTTTAAAAAAAAAAAAAACACTTGAATAGTTGCCAGTTATTGATTATATGATAGATAACAGGAGGAATTGAGGGATTTGGCCAGCCACCATGGATTGTTTTTGTCCTGAGTGTGTTTTTCAATCAACCCATTACACAACATCAGTATGCATCTTCTCAACACTGTTCTCCATACATTAGATCAAGTGCTGACAAGGAGAATTTGTGTAACAATCAAGAGTTTCTTTGGTTAGTGATCATTTCCTTTATTCTCCTGACTTTGATTGGTGATTGAGGGATGATATTGTAAGGAGAAATTAGATACTAGTCACTCCAAGGGGTTAAATGGTTAAGTGCTGTAAAAGTAAATGAGCAGTTAATAAGTACAAAGGCAAATGTCTCATGGTGAGACAAAGGAAAAAAGAGAGGGCATCATTTTGCATCTGGTGGTTTAAATGGAGGTGCAAGATTTTCAGACCAATCACAGAAAGTAGTTAAGTAACAACATCACCAATGACTTTGGATACTGTTGTAAAATACTCTGCTGTCTTTTGATTTAGCCACCATCTCAACTTTTTGCTGATTTAACTTTAGCCTCAAAAATATTTACAATCTTGTCTGAAATGTACCTTTCTGTGCTCGAGCTAAGTGTTGTTTAATTTGAGCTCATGAATTTGAGGATTCATTTAAAAGAAGACAAATTACAGGTATGTGTTGAAAACGCACCAACACGTTTCCTAGTTAATCAGCTCCTTTATTCTAAGGATCACTCCTCTTAACCTCCAGGCTTAACTACAGCATCAACCGACACGAGCGCATGCAGGATCGCTATATTTTACTGAGTCGCTATGTGATACCTAGGAGTACAAAGTACTTTCTGGGAAATTGAGTGAAGTTATTTCTAGTCATACATAACAAAGAACAATAACAACTAAACCAATTAAGGCATTGTCCACAGTTCCCCACATATGTAACACTTGTCAAACATGGCTGTAAAGGGGAGCAAAGTGAGGGTTAAAGTGGCTTGTTGTAGCCATTGAATATGCACTGGTAACTTCAGTTGTAAGTTTATATTCATACCGTTTAGCTGCTTTGAGAAACAAGAGAAACACTAGATTTATTATTCACGAGAAATTGAGGAAAGAAAATAAATCACCTTTAAAGGTTGGAAAGCTGCATTTCAAGTGCAATATTTCCTTATCAGTTGGGGCGTAAAGATGAACACCTTGAGAAGAATGAATCAGAAAGCAACCAAAGTTTCCTCCCGTGGCTCAACTTAATTCGCTTATTAAAAGTTGCTGGAACAGTACAAAAAGACAAGTTTTTTTTTCCCTTTCCATTGTACTGTTCTCATGAATTTTATAGATTAGCAATATGGAGTGCCTTTACCCCCAATATTCAGCTTCTGTTCTTTTTTTTTTCTTTTTTTTTTTTCTTTTTTTTTTCCCTTTCCATTGTACTGTTCTCATGAATTTTATAGATTAGCAATATGGAGTGCCTTTACCCCCAATATTCAGCTTCTGTTCTTTTTATAAAATGGTGCTTAAGATATGAAGCCAATTATGCTTTTATGCAGCTAATCATTTTATATATCAACAAAGTTGAAATGGTAAATTGGCCACCGTAACGATTACAAAAGCTGACGTTTCGAGCGTTAGCCCTTCGTCGGAGCGAATAGAGGTGTTGGCTATAATCATCTCATATCCAACAAGCGCGAGTGGAATAATTGTTTTATTAAAAACGCTACATTAAATTATTAAATTTTATTAAATTTTTAGCTCCCTTTTAATTTTAAGCCGACGCGTACGCTTACCATATCGTAGATTATGGTTTATTGGCTCATATACCATAATGGCGAAGCCAATAAAAGTCTTGAATTGCATTATCCAATAATCCAGTTTTTAATAATAAGATTTATTAAAAAAAGGATAATGATCGAAATAAAACTTATTTTTGAACCTCTTGTATAAGATATAATGTAACAGAAACTTTCAAATCCCTCATTTTTATGAACCACGGCTTGAAGACAGGAACGAACTTGGCCAAGATGTCCACCACCATTCCAGCAAATTAAGCAGTTTGACTAATGACGTTAATTTGTTCAGTATGTATTCAATGCATACTGTAACATTGAGCCGGTAAGTAACCACTTATTTTATTCTTATTACCGCGCCACTACGGTACAGTTAAAAAAATGGCGTCTACGTCACATCTGCCAGCTCTTCTACCTCTTCATCCACCACATGCTCATGTAACTTTTAAGCATTGTTTGCAACACCTGAAATCGCCTTTTCCATCGGCCGAACGTTTCCTCAATTACCACTCCCGTTTTACTGCAGGCAGTTATTGTGATGCAGTTCTTGTTGTTACAGTGCCATTAGCAATGGGCTGCAGGCCTGTAGTGTATTGACTGTACGCTAGAATGTTATTTCATGAAGCGGTTTATTTGTTAAACTCCAAGTTTTTACAACTGCGCCAAGCTTTCTTTCTCTCTTTCTAACCGAGAAATTACATGATTGACAGGTAAGAAAACGACAACTGGAAGTGGTCACTACATTCCTCCCCACTTTGCATTATATATAAACTATACCGAAACTACAACAAAATATAAAACCGACTCTGAGCATCTAGTGCAGAGTGAACAAACAGTAACATGTGAAAACGTCCCTCAATGGGTTTCAAGAGGTCTTAGACAAAGTCATTAAGGTATGCAGGTGACCATCTGTGTCTCTGTGGGTTGGGACGAGGTCCACACTCAGCAGGTTTTGACAGCGTACTCTCCTTAGCATCAATAGGGAGTTTAAGCAAATTACTACGGCTGGCGCTGCCACGGCTACCGGAAGGAAAATTGTCCAGAAACGAGTCATTGCGCATGTCAGTGGTTCCCATCCAGCCGTAGCGGGAAATCCTTCTACGCGAGTGGGAAGGTTTCGGCGTAGTCTGTGGTACGTGAACTTATCTCGCTTCCTTCCTCGCTTTATACATTCTCCTGAGCAATTTTAACTATTGAAATACACTTAACATCTTTAAAAATAGCTTATCGGGAATATTTATCAAGCTTGCTGTCCCTTACCGAGTGAATCTGCCTTTATTTTTGCAGCCGGGTTTGTCGAAGGATCGAAGCAGTGTGCACATGGAGAACGCAGCGAACGCAAGGAGAAATGCGT